CTCAAACAGGCTCCTACTCCGTCAAGTGCGACATCTGCCCTCCCTCAGGGCCTCTACTGGCTTGGATGGTGAACTCGCCAGCGCTCGGTTGCTTCATCTGGAAGGCCGAGGCCGAGGCAGCGGGCCGCGGGCAAACAGGCCTCCCCAGCTGGGACCAGTGGCCTCTCTCTCTCTTGGGTCCAGCGCAAGTGGAACGCCACGCGGTGTTGCCGGAGATGCCTGGTGTACATCTGGAACGTCGCCCCAGCAACCCTGGGCCACATCATGGATCGCGACTCCGGGGAGATCTTCCCGCGGCAGCCGACAGCCCGCCAGCGCCACGTAGCGCAGACGGACACCGGCGAAGCCGCTCCAGACCTGGCCGCCCTCCTCACAGCGGCAGCAGCGGACGCGAACGCTCCCGACCCCTGCGCCCGCAGCAACCTCCCAGAGGGCCCCCAGACGGGTGGAGGAGGGGGCAGCGGCAGCGGACTGCAGAGCGGTCCGAGCAGGCGCACGGCCCCCGAGGTCCTGGCCCCCCTCCCAGACCTACTTCCACCGGCGGCCCCATGGCTAAGTCGCAGAAGCGTCGCAGCGCTAGCCCTCGAAGAGGGGGGCGAACCCAAGCGCGGGCGTCGCAGCGAGCTGAAGGAAGGTCACCGTGCCCTGGTCGCCTACCTGCGGGACTGCCACCCAGCGCTGGACGACGGGTGGAGGGACTTCGTCAAGGAGTGCGGCGCCGACGTTCCAGTTCCGAGCGATCTGGGGACCTCGTGGCCAGCGCGCCAGCTGGCCCCCTTTCTGAGCAAGGTGTGCGGCTCAGAGGTCCCGGAGAACGGCCTCCCCGACGGCGCCACCTGGGAAGGCGAGAGGTGGGCTGCGGCCAGGGTGGTAGGGCACCTGCTGCGCAGCCCCAGGCACAAAGGCGCCTGAACAACCCATCGCCAGAGCGTAGCATCCAGCAGAGGGCCAAACCCCTTTCGCCATGACCTCACCGTCCTCGCCAGCTTCATCGCTAGTCTGGACTCTGGTGCCCTCGCAGCTGCCTCCATCACCACCCTGGCAGAACAGGGCCCTTCGGCCTCCTGCATCGACGAAGCTTGCGCGCCCCCTCCAGGGGAAACCACCAGGGCCTGTCTACAGCCGAAGCCAGTCGGAGCAGCTTCAGCGGCGTGCGAAGCCACCCTGGCCACCGGTGCCCCAACCTACGGCGCCGCCAACGACGTGACCGGGCCCTCGGCGCCGCGGGCAGACCACGACCCCCTGGCGTCAGACCGCGAGGCGTCAGATCGCCTCTCCCGACGATGAAGAATCTTGCTCCCCGACGAGCCCAGCGCCTTCCGCTAAGGCGGGCGTCGACGGAATCGACTACGACGAGGGCGGGGGCGACGACGCCCCCCCGACCTCCTCGCCGCCCCCTGGCGGAGCAGCGGGCGACTCGGTCGACCTCGAGGGCGCCCCGCCCTCTCCCTCGCCCGAGACAGAAGGCGAAACAACCAGCGGTAGCCCTCCCGACGACCCCTTGGGGGTGTTCGGACAGGACGCGGACGGTTCAGTTCGGCCCGAGCAGGGCCGAGCAACGGGCAGCGCCAGCGCCGGCCCACCGCCCAAGGAGACGCGACCCCCCGCGCAGGCAAGCCTCCCCAGCTGACAAGCCGGGGGGCAGCCGCTCACCAGCCGCAGTTCCAGACAGCCGCTCGCCACCCCCCCCGTGGCGGCGCGACCGCCAGCTCCGGCCAGCCAGCCCCAGACAGCCAGCTCCAACCCCAGGCAGCCAGCTCCAGACAGCCGCTCGCCAACCCCCGCGACTGGATTAGAGTGGGTCTTAGACGACCTGGTCGACCCCTTCGATGGTGGGCGTATGTGCAAAGAGCTGTTGGGCAGAGTCGACCTTGACAGGGTCGGGGGGGCACCTGCAGGCGTGATCTCGCGCCTCCAAAAGACCCTGGGAGGAGCTTTCAGCAGCATCTGGCACGCCTGCGCCCGCGAGCACCCAGCAGGGGCCAGCGGCCCGAAGAGCGACCCCGCTCGGAACCCTGAAGCCACTTGCCGCAGCTTCCTCGACGCTTGGAAACGCTGCGGGTACGATGCCTACGAGATGGGCCGCCAGCGTGAGCTCCAGGTCAGATGGGGCCGCGGGCGCAAAAAGTGGTCAGGGAACCAGGGCACAAGCGCCCCTCTGCACAAGGGGCGCGCGGCAAGCTCCCGGCAACCCTGGGTCTGGGACACCTGGTCCTGGTCGCAAGCCTGGGGCGGCGATGACTGGCAGGCCGGGGGCGAGCGAGGTGTCGACGGCGGCGGCGACGGGAGGGGGGACAAGCGCTCCCGCGCGTGGCGTTGACGCCGAAGACCCCCGCCGCGCCGTGCCGGGCCCGCGTGCGCCCTGCCCGCGCTGCCCAGCCGCTCCACGGGTCACGCTGGACACAATCCGCATTGCGACTCCCGCCGCCCCCTGCCGGGGCGGCCGGCGCCGCCCCCTGGAGGGCGCGGCGCGGTGGCCGGCGGCGCCCGCGTGGCCGCCGGCGCCGCGGCCGCCGCCGCTGCCGCCGCCGCCGCCGACGCCGCCGCGGCCGCCGCCGCTGGCTTCCCTCTGGCGGCGGCGCGGCTGGCGGCGCCGTGGGCGGCGTCGCGGCTGCCTTCGCGGCGGCCGCTGCCGCTTCCGCTGCCGCCGCCGCTGCCGGTTCCCCGCTGGCGGCGGCGGCGGCGGAGCGCGCGGTGGCCGGCGCCGCCGCGGCCGCCCCCGCGGCCGCCGGCGGTGCGGCCGCCGCCGCTGCTGCGGCCGCTGCCGCCGCCGCCGCAGGTGCTGCCGCCGCCGCTGGCCCCCCTCTGGCGGCGGCGGCGGCGGCCAGCGGCCCCGTGGTCAGCGCGGCGGCCGCTGCTGCCGCAGCCGCCGTCGCTGCCGGCCCCTCGCCGGCGGCGGCGGTTGCCCCTCTGGCGCCCCGGCGCAGACGACCCATTGGAAAAAAGATTGGAATCGCGATTTCTAGATTTAAATAGCGTTTTTTAGCTTCTTCGTTCGTCTTCCAAAGTACAAAGAATGAAATCGTGATTTCCATCTTTATACACAGACTACATCATTGTAAATTTTCAATCTTCCTTTCGCACTTCCCAACTTACCCACCGCGGCGGCGTTTTGAATCGCGATTTCAATCTATCGGCGCCCCCCGCTTGCCCATCGCGGCGGCGTTTTGAATCGCGATTTCAATCCATCGGCGCCCCCCGCTTGCCCGCCGCGGCGGCGTTTCGAATCGCGATTTCAATCCATCGGCGCCCCCCGCTTGCCCAGCGCGGCGGCGTTTTGAATCGCGATTTCAATCCATCGGCGCCCTAAGCTACTCTGCGCTACCGCTCTGTGGGGTTTTGTTTCCGTGGCCTGTGGTGTTTCTTTCCGTGGTTTTGTTTCCGTGTCGTTTCCGTGGTTTTGTTTCCGTGGCCTCTGGGGGCCGTGGCCTCTGGGGGCTCGGTTTCCGTGGCCTTTGGGGGCTTGGTTTCCGTGGCCTCTGGGGTTCGGTTTCCGTGACACATGGGGGCTCGGTTTCCGTGGCACATGGGGGCTCGGTTTCCGTGGCCTCTGGGGGGCTCGGTTTCCGTGGCCTTTGCTGGGGGCTCGGTTTCCGTGGCCTCTGCTGGGGGCTCGGTTTCCGTGGCCTCTGCTGGGGGCTCGGTTTCCGTGGCCTCTGTTGTGGGCTCGGTTTCCGTGGCCTCTGCTGGGGGCTCGGTTTCCATTGCTTTTGATGGGGGCTCGGTTTCCGTCGCTTCTGCTGGGGGCTCGGTTTCCGTCGCTTCTGCTGGGGGCTCGGTTTCCGTGGCCTCGGGGGGCTCGGTTCCGTGGCCTCGGGGGGCTCGTCCACGTGACCTCGGGGGGTTCGGTTTCCATGGATTCTGGGGCTCCGTTTCCGTGGCTTCTGCTGGGGGCTCCGCTTCCGTGGCCTCTGTTGGGTGCTCGGTTTCCGTGGCCTCCGTTGGGGGCTCCGTTTCCGTGGCCTCTGCTGGGTGCTCGGTTTCCGTGGCCTGTGTTGGGGGTTCGGTTTCTGTGGCTTCTGCTGGGGGCTCGGTTTCCGTGGCTTTTGGTGGGGGTTCGGTTTCCGTCGCTTCTGCTGGGGATTCGGTTTCCGTCGCTTCTCGGGGCTCGGTTTCCGTGGCCTCTGGGGGCTCGGTTTCCGTTGCCTTTTGCTGGGTGTTGGGTTTCCGTGGCCTCTGGGTGCTCGGTTTCCGTGGCCTCTGGGGGCTCGGTTTCCGCCGTAGTTTGTGGGGTTCGGTTTTGTGGTTTGTGGGGTTCGGTTCTGTGGCTTGTGGGGCTCGGTTTCCGTGGCCTCTGGGGGCTCGGCGGTTTCCGTCGCTCGGAATCCGCTGGACCGTCCGCCCAGAGGGCTCCATTCCTCAGCCGCTTCTTCATGCCAAGATTTGCTCGTACTTGCCACTTTCACGCCAACTGTCTGCGTGACCAGACGTTCGCCCATGGCGTGGCTTACTTCGACATGTTCGATTTGGCTGGCGCTGCCTGCCCTGGCCACCCCACCAGCCGCGGGGGTGTACATGTGCCGGCGGCCGACCGTCCCAGGAGAGCGCTTGCAGATGCGGATTGTTGCAGATGCAGAGGCCGCCGCTGCGGCCGCGGAGGCGGGGCTCATTGCTGCGCCGCAACCGCTCCACATCCAACTCCCCGGGGAGGACCCGTGCCTTTCGGCGCAATCCCCCGCGGCGCTGCGCAGGCAGGATGACGGCCCCATCGCACCTGTCGGCGAGGTCGCGCCCCAACAGAGCCCCAGCAGGGGCCAGAAACGCCGGCCGTTTACTGAGATTGGACGGATCGATTTCACAGGCTGGGCGAGGGTTTGAAACGGGCCCGCCCTGGGGAAATGAGGGAGTTGCCCGCGGGGCTGCCAGAGCTGCGAGCAGACGTTGGACGGGGCAGTTCGACGCCGTCGCTTGCGCAAGATTTTTTTTTTGGCTTCTTGCAAAACAGTCCGCGGGCTTGCCGCCCCCCCCCGAGCAGCGTCTTTCGTGAAAACCGCCCCCAGGTGAGACCTTGCAGGGATCCGCGACCACGTGCGTCGAGAACATGCATGGGCAGACATTCCGCTCGTCGACGACGAACGGGGCCAAGGGCCTCGTGGCGCCTTGTGGGCGATGCTTGAAGTGCTCGAAAGCGTGGTCCTTCTCCGAGCCTGAGCCGGGCAAAATGCTCATCGAAGTCACAGGTGAATATTCGGGCGAGAAGGATTTGAAACGCATCCGGCTGTGCAACGCCAAGAAGTACGTCAAGGACTCGTACGCCAAGGCGCTGATAGCCATGACGGCAGGCGGGGTGCCCCAGGACGAAAGGCCCTCCGAGCAGCAGATCAGAAACCAGCGGCGCCAGGCCCAAACCGAGAGGGAGGCGAAGGAGGCGAAGTACACGGCCGAGTGCATCGGGAGTTTTAACGAATTCTTGGACGAGCCTCCCGAAGGCGTCTTCATATTCACTGACCACAGGATCGTTTCGCTGGACAAGGTGCGCGCGCCCTTCACGGTGGCAGGCATGGAACAGCTTTTCGGCGCCCTCAAGCTGGTGAGTTTTCTCATGGATTTTACATTCTGCACGAACAAAGAGAGATTGGTCCTCGGGGCCATTGGCCCCGTCGGCCTCCACGTCAAGGATTCGTTTTCTTTGCCGCAGATGCGGTTTGTGCCAGTCATATTCGTCGTCGCCGACCGGGAGGACGAGGACGCCCAGCGCCTCCTCGTGCGCCTCTACTTCGAGATGGCCGCCAAGCACGGCATCACCATCACCGACGGATTCCTCGACTGTGCTTGCTTCAAGGGCGCCTACGCCGAGGTTGGCGACCGCGTTTACCTTCACAGATGCCTTCAACACACGAGAACTGACATCAGGTCTGAAGCTCTGAAAAAGGACGAGGTCACAGGCCGCAGGCGCCTCCAAGACCCCGAACTCCTTCAAGAAATCATCGATTGGCCGCGTGGGCCCCCGACGATTTGGAGTTCCACGTCTTCTGGAGCAGCATCCTGTTACGCATGGAGTCCGCAGAGGGGGCCAGAACTGGGGGGAACCAGCGATGGCGAGGTACTTGCGCAAACATATTTTGGACACGGAAGGTCCGTCGATCCGCGCCACCTGGGCCTCCGGCCTGGGCGCGGTGCCGCCGGGCTTCACCACGTACGCTCCCAATGCGATCCAGTTGCCTGCGGCACGTCCCCGCGCACCCCCCCACCCCTCCGCCGCGCCAGCGCAGCGCCGCGGCATCGGGGGGGTCGCCCTTCGACTGGCCCTGCAGCGGGAGTGGGGGCCCTCCGAGAGTGTCGTTACCTACCGCGCAACCAACACGGGCCCTACCGCGCATCTAACAGGCATTCCAACGTTCAGCAGAGGCGCACGCTGCGCGGCGGATCGAGCGCACCTGGCGGTTACTCACAGGTTTGCTGCCGGCGAACTACAAGCAGGGAAGCGTGGCGCAGCTGATTGCGGACGTTGCGAAGGCACTGCAGGCCCGCGTCCAAGGCGGGGCATGCAATTCTCTTGTGGGAAGGTTGGCAAATGCGCCTGGTGCACTAACGAATTGGCCGAAGAAGAAGGCAGTCGGCGCGGCGGAAGGCCGGTCTTCTGTGGAGACACAAAGTCAGGGCAATTCCGCCCGCCTCGACTTGAACGCCATCCTCGCCCACTACAGGGGGAAACCGGCCACGCGCACGTATTGGGTTCGACCGTGTTCGAAGCCTTTGCCCACCGGGGACACCGCGCGGGCGGTCTACGTGATGCCCAAGTACCAGCTGGCGTACGCAACGCAGAAGACGGCCGATATGCAATCGGCGTTGTCCTTATCCCTGGCGACATCTGCGGCCGAGATCCACGCTGCATGCGCCAGTAAGGAGACGTCAGCATACGACATCATGAGACACATGTGGTTGCGCCACCACTTTACGACGATCTACGTCATAACCAGCGGCGTGGCGGTGGACTGCCACAAGCACAGCGTGGAGGGCGGGGGGTTCTCTGAACACCAGGTTTTCATTCAAGGGCTCCAGAAGCCGGACTGGCTGGCCCGCGTGGCCCGCGGGCCCGAGACGTCCAAGTCGAAGGGCTCCAAGTGGCGCGGCGGCAAGGTCAAGCAGAAGCGGTCCGAGGCTCTGAAGACGAAGCTCCAGGCGCCCCCTCCGCTGGCTGGGCCCGGTGGGCCAGTCGACCAGGCGATCCACGCTGCCCTCCCCGATGTCGTTTTCCAAGAGCCAGCCGCTTTGCCCGGCGCGCCTGCGGAGCCTGGGCTTGCGGCGCGCATGCGCTGCGTCGTGGCCAGCGACGGTGGAAATGGAGCTTTTGGAGCACGATGCCTTTGGAGCACGAAGAGCGGGGCCCAATGTCGCCGCCAGAGGCGGAAGGGAAACTTCTGCACCTAGCATTTCACAGAGGCGCAGGGCGAGAAGGCCAAGGGGGATATGTTTGCGTGGTTGAAGTTCGCTCTCGAGCAAACTGCGAAGGCAGAGAAGGAACGCAGGGCGGCCGCCGCGCGGGAGTCCGACGGGGTCGCCGCGCGGGAAGCCGACGAGGTCGCCAAGGCAAAAGCCTTATCGCTCGCGGAGATGGACAAGGCTGCGAAGCATCGGCAGATGCTGGAGAATCGAGTCGACCCTCGCCTGCAAGCGCTTGGTCTCCAACGCGTGCCGGTTGACGGGGGCGGTAACTGCCAGTTCGCTGCGATAATGCACGCGGCGGGGCTCGATGTGTCCGCCTTGGAGCTACGCCTGCAGATCGTGAACACAATGGGATATTCCCCCGGCATTTTTGAAGGCTCCCACGAGTTCGACAACTACCAGTCATACTTGGACTACATGCGCGTCCCCGGGACTGCTTGGGGCAACCACCTTACGCTCTCAGCGGCGGCCTTCTTGTTGATGCGGCCGACCCGGATCGCCAGCGACGCCGCCAACGACGCGTGCACGACGTGCACGATCGAGCCCCCGCCCATCATATCCGACGGTGTGTGTGTGTGTGTGTGTGGCAGGATCCGATTGCAGTGGTTCTTCTCGCTTCGCGGGGTGCAAGTCCGGAGCGCGTGCAAGCAAAAGGCCCCCGACAGGCCCTGTCGGGCCCGTCGGGGGCGTCTTGGGCCGTCCTGGGGCGCTTGCGCTGCGTTGCCCTTCGGAGGCTGGCTTGGGGGCCTCTCCTGGTCGCCTTCGGGCTCTCCTGGGGTCCTCTCGGGCCGTCTCGGGGGCCTCTTCGACCACTGTCTGAGCCTCTTCGGGCCATCTTCTAGCCGCGCCGCGTCGCCTGGTGCGGGGAGGCGACGGCGGATCCACTTCGGGGAGGTCCATTATGAATCGACGGCTCCGCTCCCTGCTCCCTGCTCAGAAGCAGGAGGTGCTCCCAGCGGGGCCTCCGGTGAGCCCGCAGCCTCGCGAGCCCGCTCTATTCAGCTGCTGGAGGAGGACCGAGTCGCGGAGGCCCTGGTGGAAGTGCAGGATGCGGAGATGCAGAGGGGGTTGGAGCTCGAGCGGCTGGCCCTGGAAGCCCGCGCGTCCTTCGGGGCCGGGGTGGCGGCCCAGCAACGGGCCGAAAAGCAGGTGAACCTGCGGCCACCAAGAAAGCGCGGGCCCCTGCGACTGCTGTCGTGCTAGACGATGACCAGGGCGACGACGTGGGGCAGCAGGGGTGGGCACCGATGGGCGAGCACGGCGACCTTGTCCTGGACGGCGAGGGCCTCGCCAGCGCTGGCGCCGAGGGCCGGGGCGGCGGGCCTGGCGGGGCCGACCGCCAGGACGCAGCTTGGCGAGCATGTGATCGCCGGCGCCAGGCGGGCGCGCAGTTTACGTACAGTTCGTGATTTCGGTCGACGCAGTTCCAGTGCGTTCAAAATCATCATCATCGCCTCCATCGGTGAACGGCAAACAAATGGTTGCTTACCATTTTTCTTGTTTTCGGGGCCCTCTTGGGGCCATGCAAAGGGGCCCTTTTGAGGCCATCTTGGAGGCCCGAGGCCCCAGGGGTGCTCCTCCCAGGACGTCCTCTTGGGCTCCAAGAGGGCTCCCAGAGGGCCCCAACAGGGCGCCTAAACCACCCGAAACGGTACACATTTCGTTGTTTGCATTTTTTCTTCTTCTCGGGCCCCTCTGGGGGCCGCGGTGGAGGAGGGTGGGCGAGTGCGCGCCGCGGCCTGGGCTCAATAGGCGCCCTTCTCCAGGGACCGGTGGCCACATATGGGCATCCAAGAGGGGGCCTCTTGGAGCGTCCTCGGAACCTCTTGGAGGCCTCCTGGGATCTCTTGGGCCCCTCTTGGGGCCTCCTGGCCTCTTGTTGCAAGCCCCTCCGGTCTCGCAAATTATACTTTTCGGAAGGCTGTCTGGGCAGGTTGGTTGCTAGTTTACAAAAAATCGTATTTGTCGCTGCAGTAGGAGCACTGATAACGGCTTGGCGTTTGGTTTCGCTCTCACTCTGAGCTTGCGGTCGCTCTCCTACCATCACTAATCCTACTAGTCGTACTAGTACTACTACTGCTACTCCTACTGCTACTACTACTACTACTACTACTACTACTACTACTACTACTACTACTACTACTACTACTACTACTACTACTACTACTACTACTACTACTACTACTACTACTACTACTACTACTACTACTACTACTACTACTACTACTACTACTACTACTACTACTACTACTACTACTACTACTACTACTACTACTACTACTACTACTACTCCTACTCTACTCCTACTCTACTCCTACTACTACTACTACTGCTACTACTACTACTACTACTACTACGACTACTACTACTACTACTACTACTACTACTACTACTGCTACTGCTACTGCTACTACTACTACGACTACTACGACTACTACGACTACTACTATTACTACTACTACTACTACTACTACTACTACGACTACTACTACTACTACTACCTACCTACTACCTATCACCTACTACCTACTACCTACTGCCGAATACTACTACTACTACTACTATTACTACGACTACTACTACTACTACTACTACTACTACTACTACTACTACTACTATCACTACGAATCATATATGTAATACGATTACTATGACGAGGACTGCGAATACCGGCTACTAATACTACCAGCACTACAAGTATTATTATTACTATTATGAAGACCACTACCACGACTTCCACCACTTCCACTGCAACCGCCAATGCCACTCCGGGCGCTGGAGGATGGAAATCTAGATTTGAAGCTTTTTACCTTGGTTGTTTTTTTCTGGACGGGTCGGCAGTTTCAAATCGCGATTTTAAACTTTCTTCGGTTCGGCCAAAGTTCGAAAACCCAAATCGCGATTTGAAGCTTTTACAATCGTGATTTCCATTTCTTCCCGACACACTGGGCACCCCTGGTAGCCAACAGACTGCGAAGAAGAACAGGGTCCGTACGGCAGGAAGTCGTCAGGGCGACGGTTCCACCGTTACCAAGGCAGCTCACAGTGACGACAGATCGCAGGGTGTGCCCCCTTTCCTCCGCAGACTGCCCAGGCACACGTGCCCCCGACGCGCGGGCCCCGATGCCCACCGGGCACCCCTGGGGGACAGCAGACCTTTCCAAGTGGTGCAGGACCCGTCAGGCCAGCAGGGTTCGCCGTGGTTGTGCCTCGGATTCTCCAGCTGAAACAGGGCCCGTTAGGCCAATGGAAACTGTGCCGTATCGTGCCCTCCTCTCCTTCTCCGGCCGCCTCCCGGAGCGCGTTTCATAGTAGCGCCCGACCGCGGCGCCTGACCACAGCAGACTGTTCAGTGGTGTCTATTGGTCTCGTGATGGTCTGGCCCGCGCGGCCAGAAGGGCGTTGACCTTCGCAGTTTTCTCGCATTATGTCGTCAGATGGCAAGCAGTGGCCGTTGGCCACCACTGGTATGGTCCGCAGGCATCACGGGTTGATGGTGGCCTGTGGCGAGGGCCCTCGCCGAAGGCCGCCGTCTGTTTTACGCTAGACGCAATGCGCCGCGCATCCCGCGGTGGTCGTTGCCGGACTTGCAGGCAGTGCTACTATGCCCTGGTGCCGCTCCCTGCAGAGCCACCGCTGCTCCCCGCCCTTGGGGCACGGGCAGAGGTCTGCTGACAATGCTGGTTCGTGGGCTGCCGCTGGGGCCGTGGTCCACCTGTCCCCCGACGGCCTTCGGCCCGCTGTCGTTGCCTTCGCTCTTGGCGCGTCCCTCCCCCGCGCCCCCGGACGCCCTCCCGTGCCGGGGTGGCCACCCCGCGGCTGGGCTCCCGTCTCCCTTGCCAGTTCGGTGGTGCCATTTCCCACCTGTCTTGGCTTCTCTTTACCGCGAAAATCGCGGTTCGCCTCCCTCTTGGGCCGGGGTTGAAGGCGCCTGTGGTTCAGCCTAGGCACCTTCGTGGCTCCGCCACGCCGCGGCCGCGACTTCGGCTGTAGTGCCAGTGTTCACCCTCGCGCCGTCTGTTCGCGTCTGTGGCTATCCCTGGTGTTTCGACCGCGGACAGCGCTTCCCCTTTCGGGGCCCTGGTGTGCGACTTCGCTGGCGCCGCCTCTCGCGCCCGCCAGGCTTTGGCATGCTTCTTGGGTCCCCCTGAGTTGCCCGCCCTGGCCACGTCGTGGTGCCCCCGCGCGCAATTTTGGCCGCGCCGCAGCTTCTGCTCCTCAATTCACTCGCATTCAATTCGGTTCGTGGCTGTCGGTCCACCTGGCTTCGGCCACCTTGGTACTCTGCAGCCCCGTCGGTGCTCGCGCCTTTGCATAGGGCGCGCAATTCGTCTCGTGCACGTGGCTCCGGCCACCCTGGTGCTCTTGCAGTTCCGTGGGTACATGCGCCCCTGCGTGCAAGTCACTCGCAGCTTGCAGACCCTGGCAGCCGACCACCCTGGCAGCCAGCCCATCCTTGCAGCGCGTTGCATGTGTGCACCCTGGCAGTTCAGCTTCCCAGCAGTAGCAGCCAGCTCCCTTCCACTCGCCGGCCTGCCCGCCGTGGTGCTGCGCGAGGCTCCGGCCCACCGCTTTAGGTTAATTCGTTTTTGCGCGGCCCGCTCTGACTGGGCTCGCCGCTGGCGCTCTCGCTCGCGGCCGCTGACCAAAAAGTATCCCCGCCAGCTGTTTCCCGGCGGCGGTGTCCACGACACTTTTCGTGTTCACTCGACCACGTGCTTGAGGCGTGCGCCTGCCCAGTTCCTGGTCAGTTTTCCTAGGGGTCGACGGCCTAGTTCGGGAGTGCGCGTTGTTTCTTTTGATCCGTTGTCTCAGGTTCAGTTGCGGTGTTGATCGCATCCATCGTTTCCCTGGCAACTCCGCCATGCCGTTCGTGTTCACTCTGTTCACGGTTTGACGGCAAGTGTCCGGGCCAGTGCTCCCTTCAGGAGTCTCGTTGTGTGCGACTTTGGTGGCGCCATTTCCATGCACTAGTTTCCTTGTCAGTGAGTTCTTCCTGGCCTAGCTGGTGTCAGCGTTCCTTCGTGATGGAGCTCCTGGCTACATCCTGGTATCGCTCCCGCGCCATTCTGGCTGCGCTCCAACCTCGGTTGGCTAGTTATGCATGCGCTCGCTCCTGGACCTGGTTCCTGGCAGCTGCAGCCCGCACCGCCTCGCAGTCCAGTCAGCTTAGGTGCTGCTTAGGCCGCCGTTTAGTCGGCGCGTTAGGCAATTAGGTTCGCGCGTAGCCCGCCCGACCCTTGCCGCTGCTGGCTCGCGCGCCCGCTTCTGCGACGGAAAAGTATCCCCACCAGCGATGTCGCCCTGGAATGCCTGTCGACCTGCTCGTTTTTGTCGGGCCCAATGCCGATTCACGCCGGGTGATCGACCTCTGCGTGTTCATTGTCGCGCCGCCGGGCCAGTTTGGCTGCGCCTACTTGATGGTCGCCACGGGGATTTCCACGCCACCGTGTTGGGAGTGCCGCTACAGGTGCTCCTTCTGAGTGGCTGCCCGCGCGCTCGCTTCGCTTGCCCCTCGCTTTTCTCGCTGCTTAGTCTCGGCCCAGCTAAGTGATCGGACGGCTTTCGATTTGCGTCGCGAGTCCGCAGACCAAAAAGTACCCCCACCAGCCCCTGCCGCTCGGAGCAATCCAGATCCGGGCCAGCACGATGATCAACAACCCCCACGTCAGGTCGGTCAGGCGTCCGCCGCTGATCCTGATCGCATCAAGGGTGACGAGCACTATGTCTCAGGCGAACGCAAGCCCATTATTTCTGCGGCTGTCAGATGCACCCTACCAGAGAATCAGCACACTGCAGGCGGAGTGACCCCCCTCCGCCTTGCGGCTCATGTTCGGACTTCTGCTGAGCAGCGTGGTGACTCTGATTACCCAGTGCCAGTACAGCGTGATGTCTCAGGCGGATCCAACCTCAACCATTGTGCGGCTGTCAGCTGCACCCTACCAGAGAACCGGCAGTCAGCAGGCGGAGTGACCCCTTCCGTCCTGCGGCCGACACTTCGACTCCGACCGATCAGGGTTGCGTCTCGGGCTGCCCAATGCCAGCGCAGCACCACGTCTCAGGCGAACGCAATTCCAATATTTCTGCGGCTGTCAGCTGCGCCCTACCAGACAGTCGGCACACTGCAGGCGGAGTGACCCCCCTCCGCCTCGCGGCTCATGGCTGGGCTCCGACTGAGCAGCGTGGTGATTCTGATTGCCCAGTGCCAGCGCAGCAAGATGTCTCAGGCGAATCCAACCTCAATCGTTCTGCGGCTGTCAGCTGCGCCCTACCAGAAAATCAGCACGCCACACGCGGAGTGACCCCCCTCCGCCCTGTGGGCGATATCCACCAAATCTCAGGCGGAACGATCCTGTATCAACCTTCGGATATTACCCTTACTTCAGCAGAGCAGCGACCGTTCCCAAGCACGGACGACGACGGCGTAAGGCGAGAGGCGTCTCTCAGCAATCCCTGTATCCCAGACGACCCCCAGGACGAGCGTGCCCAATCCGTCAGCGGGCGCCGGGAAGCAGGACCCCCCCCCCCTAGCAGGCACCAGGTTGACGTCGCCACCTCTGGACGGTGTCGTCGTAGTCGGTGTCTGCGGCGCCGTCGTCGTCGTTGTCGCTGTCGTCGTCGGCGTCGGTGTCGTGGCCAAGTGCCATGTGGTACCTACCGTCACGGTCTTGTCTTAAGAAGTCTTGCGACCAAGTTGCGGGTGGGAGGGTGGGATGTTTGCACGAGCAGTAGAGAGGACAGTTTCAAGACGGTCAAAGTGAATTGCACCACATATATTGCTCCACATGTACGGCATAACATCGGTTGCTAGAAACATGTAGTTTTGGATCCACGCTGGCCAACATTACAATGCAGACAGCCTACCAGACAGCCCTTGCCATGTTTCCACGCCTCGACGTGCATAAGGCACGGTTGCGAGTATGATGATGTTGGTAATGATGACGATTACGATGCGATGTTCATGATGATGAGGAGGATACAGAGCGAACGCCGAGGAATAGGAGGATGTGGAGGAGGGTGTTTTCACGCTGACCATGCCAGCTTGCTGGTGCTTCTAAGATTCTGGAGCACTTTCGCGCGGAGGCGGCCAAGTTGCCCTCGCTGCCGGAGCCGGTGCGACAGAACACGAACAGGCCCCTCGGCCGACCGGGAGGGCCTGATCCTTCGGTCACCCCTGAAGTCCTGGCGCCGTGCAGCAAATCACGACAGTCGTTCTCGCCCCTGCTGAAACGTCTCGGGACCCTGAGGAATGGATCGTGATCGAGGAATGCCACAGAAAGATGTCGGCGGCGCTCCAAAGGGGGTGGCGCCAGGGGGTCGTCCTTCTGAGAAGGCGAAGGTGCTTCTCAAGAGGCAGTGGTTTTCTCAGAAGGGCCTGGCTGCTTGTGAGAAGCGTTCCTGGAAGCAGCCAGGCCCTTCTGAGAAGGCCCCTGCCTTTTAAGAAGCCCCTCTGCCTTCTCAGAAGGCCGTCCCCCTCGCGCCGCCTCCGATCGCGCACCGCCGGAGACGCGTGACGGGCCGCCTCTCTCGCGGGTGTGGGCGTTGCATGTAGTTCTTCTCCCCGTACGAGGGGTGCATATGTGAGCGCAGTCTGAGTGTGATCACGTGAGGTATTTGGGTCAGTATCGTTTAACCGATCCCCATCCCCATCCCCATTCCCTTCGAGACCCCCACCAGATTGACACCCCAGTTGGGGATACATCCCTCGAAACCCGAAGGGAACGGCTTATATCCCCATCTAGGAGGGCAAATTGGCCAGTGGGGTTTCCTCCGGGCCGCTCCGCCATGGGTCATCGGCGGATCGGGCCGGGAGGGCCCTGTGGGCCCACGGCCCTCAGGCCGCTTCCTCCTCCTCCTCCTCCTCCTCCTCCTCCTCCTCACACCTCCTCTCCTTCCTCGATGCTGACGCCGACGACGATGGCGGTGGAGGAGGAGGAGTCGGAGGCCACTTTTCCCGTGTGGCCGAAGGCGCCCCCGAGCCTCCTCGGCGGGCGCGAGCTCTGCGGCAGGCGAGCCTGCCGCTGCACCGCCTCTGTGCTCCTGACGCCTTGCGCAACGCGAGCCGCAGGGCCCACTTCGAGGGCCCCCGCCCAGACTGGAGGGGGGTCCTGGCCCCCGCTACCCAGCGCTCCTAGCACTGCTCTGTGCCTCCCCCTCACACTGCCTCCTCCTCGCGCCCCCTTGGCCGCCGCACTGCCAGCCGTCGAGGCTCCCCTGCGCTTCAGCCTTGGACCTCGTCAGTCCCAGCTGCCCTGCGCGCTGAGCCTCAGGCCAACGCGGCCGCCTCGTGCGCTCCTCATACCATGGTCAGGTCCGTGGCCGCCATGCTGCTGGCTACGCCCTGCGCCATGTCCCTCGCCTCCCACAGGTAGCCCTGGAAGGCGTCGCTGTTCCACCGCCCCCAGCGCTGCACCAGCATCGCGTCCTTAAAGGCCGCGTAGAGCGCTGATGCCCCGCCAATCCTCGAGCTGTGGGAGCCCAGGTCATTCGGGTCGACCCCCTCCGTCACGGCTGACTGCATCACCACGCGTTGGACATCGACCCTCGTGACGAGCCGCCTGTCGTCGTAGGCGAAGATCGGGTCATACGATCGCGCTCCGGAGAACCTCTCGCGTGCCCACCCCTCGTAGATCGTCAGCGCCTCCACCGCGCAAATGTGCTCATCGTCCGCCGTGCCTGGTGCTGCTTCGACCTTGAAATGGTTGCGCCATTCTTCTCGATTGTACTGGTCCGTCTTGCTGGCCCGTATCTTGATGACGACTTCATTCGCTTCAGGCCAGCTCCTCGTCGGCTCGCCCGCTGCCTTCGGTGTGACGTCCACACCCCTTAGGCCCTTGCCACCGGTGTAGCCGTTCTGGTCGCCCGACACGTACTCACTGGCCCTCAGCAAGAAGAAGTAGCGCGTGGCGACCGCAGCCCATAGGGCTGCGCCCTCGCGTGACCTTTCCAGCTGCAGCTTCCTCCGGATCCACCTCATCATCTTGGGCGTGACTGGCTTCTTCCGCTTGGCGTCGCCGTCGCGCCTCCTCAGCCCGTCGAGCGCCATCCAGAGCCTGCCCGCGCTTGTCGTGAGATCGCCCAGGCCGAGGGCAAGGTGCTGGGCCCGTACGGTACTCAGGTACTGCTTGATGGTGCCCGCTTTCTTGCACCCTCGTCTCGACAGGTGCACGACGAACTCCAGCATCAGCTTCTCTTCGTCCCTTCGGTTCGTGGGCGTGACCTCCCTGAGTGGGCTGATACCCCTCGCCCGGCAGAACAGGGACCACCACCTCCAGCCCAGGCTGTAGGACTTAATGGTGGAGTTGGCCAGCTTGTCCAGGATGAGCTCCAACTTGGCTTTCTCCCAGTCCTCACGCGTCTTGAGGTCCGTCAGCGTCAGATCGTCTGGCTTAGCTTTCTCCCTGGCCGCTTCGGGCCCCAGCAGGTTGGGTGGCCTGTTCTCGACCGGGTCCACGTTCTTGCCCCTGCGCTTCCTCTTCCTTTGGGTGTTGGCGCCCGCCCTCCAGTCCTCAGCCTCTCCTGAGCACCGCGCTGCCAGAGCCCAGTCGAGCCACCCGCCCCTCCGGTCGGGATACCCCCACGTCCGAACCATCGCGTCCAGCTGCCTCCTGGCCTCATCCTGCTCTAGGCATCCGCTCCTGCGGCTGTCCTCCTCGCGCCTGGCGCGCCTCCCGCTGCCGTCGGAACCATCAGCTCCTCGCGCGAATGGCTCTAGGTGGAGCCTGAGCCCCTCCTGGCTATGGCTGGCACCGCCGTGCCTCGGGTATCCCGCAGGTACCGGGCCACCGCCTCCGGGTCGATGCCTTCCAAGTCTGGCTCACTCTGGCGCCTCTCTCGAGGGCGGCGGCCGTCAGGCCGGTGCAGCTCCTCGAGGTGCTCGGCCATCCCGCGCCTCGCTTCCTTCCTGCGGGCTTCCGCGGCCTCCTCGTCCTCGTCGCGTTTGGTCCTGATGGCCCGCGCCCGCAGCGCCGCCATGCGGGCTTCGTTGTCTGCCTGGATCTTCGCAGTCTTGGCGCCGTCCCCCGGCCAACCCGACGGGTGACCCGCTCCACCAATTCCTTGTGCTTGCGGCCAAGCGCTGCTTGGCCCGTGCGCTTGATGCCTTTACTTTCCGACTGCGGCTTCTCCTTGACCTCCTGCGGCAGCATCTTCACCCGCGGGCGGACACGCGGCCCCTCCGACACCGCGCGCCCTTTGTTCTTGTGCGCTGCCCTCCTGGCTGCTCCTGCCTCCGCTTTCGCCAGGTCCGCCTCCGCATGCTTCCTCCTTCTCCCCTCGGTAGGGGACGGCGGCGGGCACTCGGTCGAAGGCCTTCCGCTGCCTGACGAGTCCCCATAGTCCGCCCCGTACTGCTGGAAAGCGGCTCCGCTCCAGCCGATGCTGCCAGACGGAGGGCCGGACATGGGCGCCTTCGGCGGCGCGGCGCCGCCCTGCTGCTTCTTCTTCTTCTTCTTCTTCTTCTTCTTCTTCTTTTTGCCCCGTCTGCCTCCGCCCTCGCCAGGAGGCTGGTCGCCCATGTCCTGGCCATGGGGGGCCTTCTCGCAGTACTTGTAATGGTTGATACCTCCGTCCGCCCAGTCCTCGCCCAGGTGCCTGTCTCCGCACTCGTCGCAGCAGTGGCCTGGCTTCCAGAGCTGCTTCGGATCACTCTGCGCGGCGTGGGGGCAACCCGGGCGGAGGCGCGGCGTGGGCCCTCCTTCTCCTGTGCGCGCGCCCGACGAGGCTGCCCCAGCCGTGGGCGCCGCCGTTGCGGGCCCTGGCGCCGAGGCCGCTCGGAGCGTGGGGGCCGACTTGCCTTCCGCCGTCCACCTGCCCCAGCTCTCGTCGTCCTCGACGGCTCCCGCCCGTCTCCCGGGTTCTCCTCCCTCGGAGTGGGGCTCCGCTGGGCCAGCCCGGGCGCGGGGATCCTCTCCGCCCCGCGCGCGGGCGAACTCGGTGGTGCGCGCGCCCTCCCTCGAGTTGCGCACCGGGCTGTGATTCCGCCCGTGCGTATGCCAGCGCGTCCTGCAGCAGTAGAAGACCTGGAAGCTCAGGTCTGGCAGAAGCCGTCTGCATCCCTCCTGGTGGCAGCAGCCTGCCTCCTCGGGGTTTACCCTCCTTCGCTGCGCCGGGGTCTCATGTTCCTCCTCCCCGTGGCGGGGCTGCCCAGGCTGCTGGGGGTCGACGAAGTCCCGATCCTCGCTGTCCGACCCCATGTCGAAGTAGGCCACGTTCGAGAAGCCGCGCCGTCCTTCGTCGATGCTCGCAGTTGCACCGAAGAGCCTGGTCAAGGCGAAGGGGGGCGCCTTAGGCGGACCCGTTGGCATGGTCACCTCCGCTGGGGCGGGTTCTCCGCCCACGTGGCTGCTTGGCACCGCCTTGGCAGACGGGAGCGGTGCCGGGCCTGGCCCGGACGAGGATGCTGCCCCTGATGAGGCTGCCGCTCTCGCCGCGGCTGCGGCCTGGTCCCTGGCGGCCGAAATGGGGAGGGTACGGCGGTACGGCTGCGCATCCCGCATCTCGTGTCTCGCTCCTCGCCCTGTGTGCCGCAGTCTTCGCACCAGGCGTGGCGCGTATGTATCTGGGCTTCCTCCTGGGAAGGGCGCCCGGGGCTCGAGCTCGGCATGGCCCCGCCCGCCATTCCCCATCCACGGCCCGCCCGCCTCACGCGCCGGGGCTCGGGTCGCCGCCTTGCGCTTCTCCAGGTCGTGGTCGCCGAGGCCCGCGCTGATGGGCCCCTCCGGCCCCTCCTGCGCGTCGCCCTCTGGCGGCCGAAAGCCTGCCTCCCTCTGCTGCCTCGCGAGATCCTCATAGCGGGCCTCGCATCCTGACCCGTGCTGTGCCCCGCTCGAGTCCTGGCACGCGCGGCGGCAGTGCCATCGCCAGCCGTGGCCCAGGTGGGCGCAGCTCCTGCCGCAGCCCCCATCGGCATGGGGGGGCCCCTGCCTGGGTCCTTCCCCGCCTTCAGAGAGATCAGGTCCGGGCGCGGGTCCTCCAGGAGGTCGCGAGCTCGTTTCTCCCCGCGATCGTCGCCCAAGAGCATGCCGCGTCGGTGCTGATCGCCCTCCCGCTGGTCCGTCAGCACCTGGCCTCGCGGATCATGCGGGCATACCTTGCAGGCCCGCAGCCGGGCCTGAAGCCTGGCCCACGACGC